GGCGGGGCTCACACAGTAATGATCTGACAGGAGGCGGGGCTCACACAGTAATGATCTGACAGGAGGCGGGGCTCACACAGTAATGATCTGACAGGGGGCGGGGCTCACAGTAATGATCTGACGGGGGCGGGGCTCACACAGTAATGATCTGACAGGGGGCGGAGCTCACACACGATCTGACAGAAGCGTATAAAGGCAGTTATGACATGGACACATGCATGGGCTATTATACATAATTACAAAAGCTGATTCTGTTATCACTGCATCTTCTCATGAGTAGGAGCAAATGCCTTGGGGGACGGTGGCACAGACGGGGACAGGGCTCGCACAGTAATGATCTGACAGGAGGCGGAGCTCACAGTAATGATCTGACAGGAGGCGGAGCTCACACAGTAATGCTCTGGCAGGAGGTGGAGCTCACACAGTAATGCTCTGGCACAGGGCAGAGCTCACACTGGCCAGCTGCTCACCCCCTACTGTGCAGCCCGGTTCCTAACAGGCCATGGAATGGTACCAATCTGTGGCCTGGGGATTGGGGACCCCTGATTTAAATAATCGAGGACACACTGACCTAGTAAACCATCTGCCAAGAAAAGGGAGGAAATACTAGTTTTCTCCATTTGCTCTCAGGCACCAACATTAATTTGAACTTAGAAATAAACTACAACAAGGCCAGGCATGGTGGTTCACACCTATAATTCCAGCACTTTGGGAGGCCAAGGAGGAAGGATCACCTGAGCCCAGGAGTTTGAGACCAGCCTAGGCAACATAGTGAGACCCTGTCCCTACAATTAAAAAATAAATTAGCTGGGCATGGTGGTGCACACCTGTAGCCCCAACTACTCAGAAGGCTGGGTTGGGAAGATCACTTGAGCCGCCCAGGAGTTTGAGGCTGCAGTAAACTGAGACTGCACCACTGCACTGATCCTGTCTCAAAAAAAGAAAAGAAAAAAAAGAAACCACAACAAAATATCTGGATTTTGATGTAACAGAATACAAAGATTATTACATTTGATTTTTAGGTCAACAAATATGACTAAAGTCATAATAGTAAAATATTTTAAATGGATTTGGAAATAAAAGAAAGTTTGTTCATTTGTATTTTATTTAAGAGCTGTGCCCAGTTTTATCATCTCACAAGAATGAAGCAAGGGACAAAGGTAAGTGCCACGTTCCTTGGCCACTGGGTTCCTGGCAAGCTACCAGCCACTGGGTGCCAATCTCCCTTCAATGTACTCCTTTTTCCCCGGAGTGCAGAAGCGTATAAAGGCAGTTATGACATGGACACATGCATGGGCTATTATACATAATTACAAAAGCTGATTCTGTTATCACTGCATCTTGTCTCATCAGTAGGAGCGAATGGCTGGGGGGACGGTGGCACAGTCAGCCTCGTTCAAAGTTTTGTCGATTACGGGTCTATATTCCAGAGTGACCTTGAAAAGAACAATCAGTGGTAAGCATAAAAATGTACAAAAAGCCATCTCATGTATTCCTTTTGAAAAATTTTAACTATAAAAGTAGATTAATGGCATGGGAACTTAAAGGTATTTGCTGCAGTCTTTTCCAATAACAAATTCGAAAATAATCTACATGCGCAACAGGGGACTGTAAATGGCGGCAGATCCCTAGAGTGGAACAGAGCGACGAAATGACCCTGTGCCAGATTCTCAGTGCTTTACAAAATGCTCCCATCATGAAAAGTGGGAGAACCCTTGTCTATACCGAGACACTGTATGTTTAAACTACCTACTTCCAGTTCAAAGTAAATATTTACATAGGTTGAACATCCCTAATGCAAAAATCTGAAATTCTCCAAAATCTGAAGCTTTCTGAGCACCAACATGACATTCAAAAGAAATGTGCTATGGAGTCAGATCTTCCGACTGGGACGCTCAGACAGTAAGTATCATGCAGATATTCCAAAGTCTGAACAAGCCTGAAATCCGAAACACTTCTGGTCCCAAGGATTTCAGAGAAGGAATACTCAAGTTGTGTATTAAATATGCACACACAGGAAAAGGTAGGCACATACACAAAGAAATTTAAACCATAATGGGTCATCTCTGGTTGTGAGCTCTTATTTCAATCTCTCTGTACTTTCTGAAATGAGTATGTATTTCTTGAAAAATCACTAAAACTGGCTGAGCGTGTTGGTTCATGCCTGTTGGGGAGGTCAAGACAGGTGGATCACTTGAGTTCAAGACTAGCCTAGGCAACGTGGCGAACCCCATCTCTACAAAACATACAAAAATTAGCCAGGCATGGTGGCGTGTGCCTGGGAGGCTGAGGTGGGAGGATCACCTGAGCCAGGGGGAGGTTGAGGCTGCAGTGAGACAAGATCGAGCCACCACATTTCAGCCTGGGCAACAGAGATGAGACTGTCTCAGAAAAACAAAAAACCCGAACCTGGAAACATTAAAAATAGACTTGTGCTAAGCGAGTGAGGTGTGATTTCTATATACGATCAGGAAATGGCCTTCATGATAAATTCTGAAAATGACCTACTGCCTGAATTAGAGACACACTAGATGATAGTGAGAGTCCAAAGGTAACTTCCACAGACACAGATAAGTGATTATACGACTATCTCTTACGCTTTTAGCTTTTAGCCTCTTAAACTTTTAGCCTTAAGCTACTAAAAGCTTAAGGCTAAAAGCTTTCTATCTTCATTATTTCTCAATCTTAATGCCCAGCGGAAATGCCACACAGGTGAACTGTGCTGGTGTGGAACAAGGCTGCAAACCCCCTACCACACCCTTGGCTGGTTGTTCCCAGGACACTGCTCACCTCAACCCCTCCTCAATTTCTGCCCTTCGCTTCTCTGCTTGCTCAGTGCCCAGGGGATGCTAAGGGCTGCACCACATCCCCTCGGCTCCCCTGCAGATGCTTGCAGTTGGGCCAGCCCAAGGGAGGAGAGGGGAGGGGTCTCTTCTGGGCTCCCTTGGCTTGGGACTGGTTTCTGGTAGTGGCTGTGTGTCCCTACCCCACAGACGCTGACTTTCTCCCTAAGTCCACAATCCTCATCTCCTCCCCGCTCACCAGGCCTTGGACACTTGCTCCTGCCCAGTGACTTCCATCTGGCCCACACCACGGAGCAGCCCTTCCTTAAGGCTCCTCTGAACCACTTGCAGGCGCTGGATTCTGTTTCCAGCCAGAAACCTGACTGCTGTCAGAGTGCCTTTTTCAGTGGTGCCTCAAATCTGTCAGGAGTTGATTTAAATCCGGCCTGCTCCTCCCCGTTCACCATCAGCAAGGTCGGCCTGCGAACCTGGGCAGGGCCGTGCGCGTTTTGGGCTGTGGTGAGAACGAGCTCCACACTGACCTTCCCAGTGCTGACGTCCACATATGACAGGGTGTGCTTCCTCCAGTGCTCCTCAAAGGGCTTCTTCTGTTGCCCCTGGATGGGCTTGGAGTAATCGTACTCATCAATCCGCACCTGAGGCCAGAAACACCATCACATATCTTATTA